TAGAAATGCTCTAAACACACCACACTCATTTCTGTTTGGAGAGTGGGTTGACTTTTTGGTTTTTTTACTTTTTTGGCTATTTTAGCCTAGGCTAAAAAGCTTGGTTTGGGAAGGATTTTTTGTCTTTTTTAACTTTTTTTTTGTAAGAGAATAGTGTAATGATTATAGGTTGGATGTGATGTTTTGTTTGTTGTGGCTAAAATAGCCTATTTTGTCTTTTATAGCTATTTTAGCCACAAACTAACTTGCCAAACAACACCTAAAAGTGAATTTATATTAAGAATTTGAGTTTATTTCACTTTTATCTCATAAATTATTGTTATTATTATTAGTTTTCTATTTCATCTCTAATTCCATCTATGTAGTTGGTAAAGTTTATGATTTCTGTACGTTGGTCTAGTTAGATACGATTGTACAAATTAGTGACCATTAAAGCCTAATTTGATAAGTAAAAGAGTAATTTTATAATTTGGTACTTAAACCACACAACCAATCACCCATTTAATTGGTTGTTGAGTGTACTTTGTTTAAAATAATAACAATGAGTAATTTATGGTATGATCTAAGTTGTTCAAATTCTGAAATAACATTTTATCCATCAAATTAGGCTCTAACAATTATTGAATAATTGTTTTTGAGTAGACTATATGAGCAATAATCAGAAATTTTAAGGACTAAATAGACAAAAATGATGGTTTAAAAATAAAATAAAATAAGCAACAATAATTTTGCAGATAAAAATGAAATTAACTCTAAAACTTTCGTTATCATATTCCCAAAAATTATTGTCAAATAAGGTTGTATTGTTTTGAAGAGATTCAGAAATATAGTCCACCATTATTCAAGGAAAAACAGTATACCAACAAATTATTTTTCAAACTATTTTTACCAATTGACGTGACATATAGTTAGCGGTGTGCGCAGTGCAATTCGAACGGGTTAAGAGTAAAATTACAAATTGAATGGCGGGTTGGCGGATTAACGGATTGACAAATTACGGTTTGGGTGGTTTTGATCGATTGGCAAATTGAAGAATATTCTAACTAATTATCATACATTTGCATAATATATAACACTAATTTGTATAATATTTTTAGATATATAACATAAAGTAATTTTACATAGTATAAATAACTACTAATTTGTAATAAATTTCATATCTTAAATCTGTCTCACACTCATTTTTACATTGATATTTCATTGGAGGTTAAAAAATATATATGTATCAACTATAATGGAGCGGAGCGGTTCGGTTGACGGATTTTAAATTTAAAAGTTTAAATCGCAGTTAGTGGTTAAAGCAGTGCGAATTGATACAAATCGGTTCGATTTTAACGGATTAGACGATATTGTACACAGCCCTACATATAGTAATGAAGTCCTAATATTAGTACTGGGATAGCTAAAATTACATGATAAGAGTAATTACTATCACATTGATTTGTAAATTAGGGGTTGTTTGGGGTGTCCTAAATAAGTGTATTTTTTATCTTTTTAGACTAAAAAGTTGAGGAAAAAAATATGGATGTTTGGGTTAATTTTTTGACTTTTTTATGAAAAAGTATGTATTAAAATATTGTATAAATAAGTGTATAGAAGAAGATAGAGTAGGAGGCAGTACGGATGGACAGAGGAGCCGACTAGGTGATCAGATGAGAAAATATTGTCTCCTTCTCGGGTTTTGATTGGATGGTGTTGTTTGGCTCGTGGGGGCCCACCATGGGTCCCATTTTTCTAATCGGAACCGTTCAATGTGTAGAACTCGTCGAGTACTATATATTTATAAAAAATTACGTTGATTGGATATCGATAGCTATCTGATCGTGTTTTTTTTTTTTTTTTTGTTAACTGTTAACTGTTTAACTGTAACAAAACTGATTTGATCATATAACTAGCGATATCGGATAGACGTGATTTTTTACAAGCATATAGTATTAAACGATTTCTACATATTAACGGTTTAGATTATCAAAACGAGACCCATGACGGGCCCCTACAGACCCAACTTTACTATTAAGAATTGTTGAACTCATCACGCCAATCCACATTTCGGCCACCTTTTTTATTTGTATTAATATTTGTTTATTAATTTTTTAATTTTTTTTTTTTTATAAATAATAATAATTTTTTAACTTTTTTTGAGATTGCAAAACTTGGCTTTAGTATGGGCGCTAAGTCTAACAATTCAATTTTGAATTTGTTCCGTCGAATAGTCCATGCGCTAACCTGTTCAGCCCATAAAGACATTCTTTTGTGAAACGACTAAGCTGCCCATTTTATTTTCTCTATTTAAATTATTTTATTTGTTTAAATAATGACACAAATATGTAGAGAGAGAGAGCTCGATTTGTTCAATTAGTTTAGAGAGAGAAACTTTTCTCCATCATTATTTGTTTCACCAGAGCTTCTCTCTCTCCTCATCTCTCTCTCTCTCTCTGGTTCACTAGAACTTTTTTCTCTCTATCTGTGTCTCTCTCTGAGACACTTTTTATTTCCTCTCTTTATCTGTATCAAACCTTACTGCATCCATCCCCACTCACTCCTAGTCTACCCTGTCTCTCTCCAATACATAGAGACTCAATTACACCAAAATAACTCCTCATATGTAACCGTATATATTATTCGTAAAGATTGATTACAGCCGTAGCTCACGGCGATTTTGCACCAACACATTTTTAATAGATTTTCTAAATTCGCTCATTTCTATATCATCATCACCCACTGGGTCAAGCTCATCATCATCACCAACACCCGCTGCGTTGGGCATGTCGCTAAAAATAAAATGTTCTGCATTAGCAACCCTGTTGAATGCTTCATCTTCGTTTGAGTTGCGGCGTATGAAATTATGTAGTGCCATTGAAGCCCCAACCAATGGCACTTGCACTTTCCCAAAATCATACCGAGGCATGTTATGTAGAAAACCCCAGCGTGCTTTCCACACTCCGAATGTACGTTCAATTGCACTCCTTAATGAGGAGTGCACTGTGTTAAAAACTTCGTTCGCGTTGCGTGCTCGTCCAGTCACACGGAACTGTTCTTGGTGATACCGACATCCTTTAAACGGTGCAAGAAAGCCTTTCTGATTCTTGTACCCTGCATCAACAAGGTAATACTTTCCTGTGTGTGTCCAAATAATTTTAATTAGTAAGAAATGTTAATAACAAGACAATAAATCAGTCATGATATTGAACAGTGCCACTTCATTTTACCTTCTACTGGGTGTGGAAATTTTTTCACCAGATCTTCGGTAACTTCGTTAAATACTCTACTGTCATGCATACTACCCTCCCAGCCGCAGGAGATGAACGTAAACACAAGTCAAAATCGCAAACTGCAAGGATATTTTGCGTGTGTCGTCCTTTACGACCAAAATATGGCGGTGCCTCACGCGGATTCAAATTTGCCTCCACATGCGTCCCATCCAACGCCCCAATACAGTCCTGCATGCTCATATAATGCAAACATGCCATAAGTGACTAGTAAAATTACATTTTGGACATACACAACTATTTTGACACATGGCAAATTAACGAACATTTTACACCTCACCCTGAATGGCAAATATTTTGGTTGCGACTCCAAGTATGGATGTCTACTATTTTGAGGCCTCGTCGGTTGGCAGTGGGCTCGTGTAAATTCCTTCATTGCTCTAAGAACACGCTTAAAATGACGCCACACTGTCTCCCCTGAGTGTTGGAAGCGGTCTTCAATATCCCAACTTGGGAAGCCTCGCAACACGTATATAAACATCCCCACACTCTCAACTACATCAATACCATGCGGACGCTGCGGGAGTTCGAGACCAAAATCGGCTACTAATGTGTTACACAATTTTATGAACACATCCCTTGGCATCCTAAAATTACGCTGAAACGCTTCTTCTTGGCCTGTAAGCATCTCCTGCATCCATAATCTCCCAGTCAACGCAGATGTGTGAAATGGAGTCCTGTCAACGTATGTGTACTCATTGGCCACGCGTGCAATTTCTAGCCATATCATTGATGTTGTCATTTCCATCTCCCCGATTGTCTCGCGTATCCACGTATTAATTTGGCCATTGCACACACCACCCGCGCTACTACCCTCTTGCGGATCCATTGATGCTGTATAACAAATTCAACCAAGAACACAAAAAAAAAAAAAAAAACAAAAAAAAAAACACAAAAAAAAAACAAAAACAAAGAAAAAAAAAGAGGTGATTCAAATGCGTAACGTATGTTACTCTTGCAACCATGCAAGCCTATTGGAATCAAATTTGAATACCAAGAACACACCTTTACTAGGGGATGTCAGCTGAAGTGTGAATATCTGAACTGCCACTGAAATTGCCTACTCTTGTGATGCGCATGTATTGGACACCCCTGTGTACAAATAAATAGGGAGGCTTCCCCAACTACAAATTCATTCCTGTGGGTACGTGAATACCTTGGCCAAGTATTTGTACACCATCACATGGGCAACTGTATCCCCCTTTAGCAGAAATATCAATTCACATAGCTTTTACAAAAAGTATAAGATTCCAATTGCAGTCAGCATGTACAAATAGGTTTCAGTTTTTGGATTTATATTAATTTTTTAATTGAGAACATGTCTGTTTTTTTTTTTTTTATGGGAAACCCATAACAAATGGAAAAAATTAAAAAAATAGAAAAAAAGCTTATAAATAAAAACATCCCAAGTTCAGAAACATAAGTAAATAAGCAAAACAAAAGTTAAAAAAAATAAAAAAATTGTAACTAAAAAAAAATGATCATACTCTACTGTCCATGCATAGGCTCCTAATTTTTGGAATGGTCACACACCTACCATTCAAACGTGTTTAACGTTCAACACTGCATAACAGCTGGGTTTTACACACCATAATAGGAAACACAAAAATAAAGAAAATAAATAAACATATCCCAAGTTCATGTGAAACAAGTAAATAAGAACAGAGAAAAAAAAGAAAAAAAGAAAAAAAAACACAACGGGAATAACATTGCACTTGTTCCTTCCAAGCTTTAATTAAGGTCAAGCACCCCATCTCGCCCAAATAGAGATACACCGCGGGTTCCACTGACAACAGTTGGATGACATATGGCACGCTTCTCTTTTAACCACGCAACAATGCAATCAACGGGGAGGCCCATCATGACGTCGCGGTTGTCCGGTGAATCCATTAGCGAGCATGCAAACGAAAATAACGGACCACCCAGCTCCAATCCTAAAACATTCATAAGCCTCGCAAGACAATCCCCAACAGTGTTCTTGCCCCTTCCTGTCACAACATATTGGGTGACTTTCAGCTCCCTGCTTTGTTTGCTAACAACCTCGACAAGGTTGTCCATGCTACTGGCCACTGTACTAGGGGCTGCCCTCTTTCGACGCTTTGCGTTGGCTGATCCATCTGCAGTGGACTGTGGGGGAGCATCATCAAATAGCGAAGAATCGACCACGTTTTCGCCGCCTCTATCAGGCACAGTAATAGGTGGTGTGCCATCACTAAGAAGTGCCATGCCACTGTCAGCGTCTGCATCATTGGCGACCACATCATCATCACGGATTTCAGTTGGGGTCCATGCATGTTTTCCTGTTGCAGAAGCGCCCGAGTACACCATTTCCATAAGCTCCAAGTGCTCCAAGGGCTTTGTCTTGAACTTTGCACATCGCTGGTTCATCTAACAGAGTTAAAAAAAAATGTCAAGCAACCCAACAACAATTACTTTGTAAACAATAAAATGAAGAAGGCAGCTATTATTTGGAAAAGTAAAGTATGTCATACCGCTTCCATTTTCGCCCACCAATGCTCAGGTGCTGTGAACAAACCCGTGGCCTGGTCATATCCTATTCCTGTGAAGCCTTGACTAGTATCTTGTAACTTTTTCCAGGCAACCCAATCTTTTTTCAGATTGTCATATTTGTTTTTAATTTGTTTGGCCGAATGTTGCATTCCGGTTTTCTCATAGAACTTGTTGGCAATATTCTTACACCCAGTGCTAGATAAGGCACATAGTTGTCGTTACCTTTCTTCATTTCACCAAGGACAAGTTGTAGGTACAGCTTAGTGTTGTCACTATCCCAAGTGCATTTGTGGACAGGTGACTTTTGGCTTGATGTCACACCCTTGCCATGTGTTTTTGAAGGGATACGGGGTGAAGTACGAGTGGTTGCCATCACACTACGAGTGGGTCATAAGTGTAGTTCACAAGAAAATGAGCATACAGCACAAGACAATTCATTACATGTATAGAAGTAGCAATACAACAACGCATGCAATCCAATTAGTTAATTTCTTTACAGTACAGCAACGTAGCAGTGGTCGTAGACAACAAAAAATAAGGTTTGTTGAATATGAAAATACATACAGTCATACAAAAGTTCATAATGCATTACATCGACATGTGTAATACAGTGAAAGAGGCATAATATGCAAGTTACACATATAACTACGTCCAACGTCAGGGCGTCCGGTCTTGAAAATAATACAGAAACCCACAAAATGAGCATGACTCACATACGAAACAACAAGGCAATCACTATGACGCTCAACGCACCGACGACTGTCCAAAGCAAACGTAGGCTCTGATCTATGCGATCAACGTCACTACGTAACCCCAGATCGACGTCATTCGGAGGGAGGTCATTAGCAACCCTTTCTCCACGAAACTCGTCACACCAACCTACCCATGAAACACATTTCTGGCATACACAAGTTCAGTAGTTAGAGTCATTTATTTATGACATAACCGTAAATGAAAAGTACAGAAGTACATGCATTGAATAGCGGTAATACGCACCGTTGGACTAGGGCAAACATAGTATGCACGACCTGGGTTTTTGTTAGATCTAGAAATCTTTACAAAGCAGTGTCCAAAGCCACATGCACACAGCCTTCGTGGCCATGAAGAAGTGGCAGTTGACATCGAGGAAGCCATTTCTGTGGTGTGTAGTGGAATAAGAAATGTTAACATGTCTCTTTATAGTGGTGTGGAACAAGAAATGTCAATGGATGTGTTTCTTAAACCCTAGATGCATGTGTCATCATATGGGTGTCGGAAAAATGTAACCCATGGACAACTTGTGACTTATTACATGTAGAGAACACCTAATACAGATAATCTGAAAATGAAATTTGTGGCTTTTTTGGCTGTTATACCATTTCCTCAATTCATGTGAAAAATGGAAACATGCAAGCCATCTTTGCACTTCCCAATAGTACTACCACATCCACCATATGACAAAAAATTGAAAGAACTAGTTGGGAGCATAAGGACCAATTTCAACATCAGCTTTTCCCGAAAAAATAAAAAGGGAATGGAGTATAAGATTTTTAAACTATTTGAAGCAATTGTTTTCTAATTGCAGGATGACACATACTCATCTTATGAAGTTCCACTGTTTTCTAATTGCAGGATAACATTTGATCTCTTAAATGGTTTAGAGCTTATAAAAATAATGGTTTTAAGGTTTGTGAAGACAAAAAGCACACTCTTTGTCAACCAAACTTTTCAAACTTCATCAAATTACTGCAATATCATTTGGCATGGTAGCTTCAATAAGAGATGTAACATAAGGAGGAAAAGTTGAGGATATAAGATAACTAACTTAAAATTTTGAAGAAAAGAAAAAAAAAACAAACCACCAAGTAACAGATTCATGAGGCCACCTAATCATATAACATCTGGAAAAAAAAAAATTCCAAGTATTGAAGCTTGTGATCAACCACAAAACAAATAAAAAAACAATAACAAGAACAAAAACACACAGAAGTAAAAGTGTTATGAGGTCAACATAATCAAATATAACTCCAGGCAATCCAAGTAGGTAAGCTTGTGATCAACCACAAAGGCAGGAGATTGGAGAAGAGGACTCATCTCAAAGCTGTTTGGCAGTACAATGCCTATGTATGAACCTTCCTTGTTTATTACATTCATCTTTATCAGCACATTATGAGAAATTAAAGCATATGATCCATACAGAAAACCCAGTAGAAGAACCAAACATCCCAATGACATTAACCTTATATGAGTATCCATGTCTCTGTCTCTCTCTGGAAATTGAAAAGCTTTGGAGAGCATTCAATGGTGGAGACACAGACAGATTTGTGAATCTAATCAATGTGAAATTAACCAAGACGAACATAAAATTTGTTTTGCACCATCTATAAAAAAAAAAAAAAATTAAAAACAAAAATCTTTATTCATCAACTCTGTTTTTCCTGTGGTTGGAGATGCAGTTCAGTGGCTATCAATACCAACAGGCCTTTTTTTTTTTGGGTGTAGTCGATAGATGCAGCCATGTACACAAGCAGAATGAGTCATTGGTTTTGTACAGAACCAGGTACATAAGCAGAATGATATGTGCCAATGAATGATTGAAGTTGATAGCTGGTGGAGAGCACGACACGCGTGTCTGGACAACCATATATATTCGCTAACCTTAATTTAGAACATCTATAATGTGGTGTTCATGTAAGAAGTTAATAGATTTTGTTCGTTAAAGAATCAATAATGCTCCAATTAAACTGTTAAACAATATGTTACAGTTGTGAAATGTTTGTGAATTTGTTAGCTATGTTGATTGGATTCACACACAACAGAGAGGAAAGAGATAGAGAGGGAGAAGGGGGAAGTGTTCCATTGTAAAGAAGAGAGATTTGATGGAGTTAAAAGAAGTCAGAGAAACTCATAAGTTATAAATAAAAAATAATAAAAATAAATTTGAAAAAGAAGAAGAAGAAGAAGAAGGAGAAGGAGAAAACTTATTTGCATAAACAAATCAGTGTCAATGATGCTAAGTGGGTGGGTGGAAAAATATAAAAAAGGATGATTAAGTCTAGAAAACTAACAGCATTTTCACTGGAAATGTTAAAATTATGTATTAATATGTTATATGACAAAAACTAATAAAAGTGAGACTCAAACTTTCATATTCATTTCACAATAACTTTCATATTATTAAAGACGACACTAATTTACAAGTTTGAATATCTTCACAGTCAAAATGATAATATTTAACTGGATATATATGCATTTATAACTTATGGATGAGATTTCTAAAATTACCCATCAAGATGAAAGAAAAAGTACATGAACATATGATATCAGGTTCAATCTTATCCTTTTATTATCATTGAAATCAATCTAATTTTTTTTGTTTAAGACTTTAGAGTCAATCTAGTAAACAAATACAAAATAGGGTTTAATTTTTTTGAAACTGGAAAATTTTAATTTAATTGAAAATAAAAAAATTATAATTAATTTTACTTAATAGGGATTGACGATGCAATTCAACTTAGGGTGGAAATTTTTTTATAAAAACCAATCAAATAAAATTTATACAGTGGCCACTGCATATCATATTAACATAATAAAAGGAAACAAACTCAATTCCACACAAGTATGAAAAGTAGAATATTTTGGACTAATAAGGGGGCATTGAAGTTGATTTGTCATTGAAAGTCATAAACACATTACATACTCTTTTTGGAAAATGACAACAATAATAAAGAAACAAAATATAATATAATATCATAAAACAATGGATGGAATTGTGGAAAAAGGGTGTTTTTAAGAGGGTCCCATTCTGGAAATTGAAAAGCTTTGGAGAGCATTCAATGGTGGAGACACAGACAGATTTGTGAATCTAATCAATGTGAAATTAACGAAGAAGAATATAAAATTTGTTTTGCACCATCTATAAAAAAAAAAAAATTAAAAACAAAAATCTTTATTCATCAACTCTGTTTTTCCTGTGGTTGGAGATGCAGTTCAGTGGCTATCAATACCAACAGGCCTTTTTTTTTTTGGGTGTAGTCGATAGATGCAGCCATGTACACAAGCAGAATGAGTCATTGGTTTTGTACAGAACCAGGTATCTTCTTTGAAAAGAAAGTATTAAGCTTCCCCAACTCATTGTTTTTTGTTGTTCAAAAGCAAAATAAGCAAATCTGAAAGGGGTATCCATAGCTCGCAATTAACAAATTTCTACTAAATTTGTTTCATCGCAAAATAAGGCCAGCAGAAGTAGTAACAATAAAAATGAAAAATAAATACATAAAAAAATAAAGCACACAGTGGGTAAGAAGATGGAAATCAGACCAGTTTTTACCCAAAAAATCCCAAAAAAACAAAAAGAATAGCAGATGGTAGTCAGAAAGCCAAATAACACTTGTAATGTCATCAACGGAACTGAAAATTAACAGATCTATTTGTAATTTAATAGTTTCTACACATGTTGTTGCAAATCACGGGTAGCAGATTTGCAGCAGAGGGAAGAGGCTTACATGATTGTGTAGATCAACCGAGGAAGACGACTTTGGTAGAGGGAATTCAGTGGCGATGTCAATGGCCGACGCTAGGAACACGTCTTACGCGACGTCCACAGCAGCGGTGCAGCGGAGCGAAGACGATCTGAGAAAGGGAGAAGAACAAGAGGCGTGAGATGCAAAATGGTGAAATGTTTTGACGAAACAAACCCTAAAGTGAATAGAGGGTATATTCGTAAATACCCCCTCCTGCGTTTATCCAGCTTCCCAAATGAGTTTGATGAACAAAAAAGCCACGTTTAACGTTTTCATCAGACGCCCAAACGCGGCTTTTAACCACGTTGCCAAAACAACCCTAAGTCTAACAATTCAATTTTGAATTTGTTCCGTCGAATAGTCCATGCGCTAACCTATTCAGCCCATAAAGACATTCTTTTGTGAAACGACTAAGCTGCCCATTTTATTTTCTCTATTTAAATTATTTTATTTGTTTAAATAATGACACAAACATGTAGAGAGAGAGAGCTCGATTTGTTCAATTAGTTTAGAGAGAGAAACTTTTCTCCATCATTATTTGTTTCACCAGAGCTTCTCTCTCTCTCTCTCCTCATCTCTCTCTCTCTCTCTGGT